CCGACGGCTTTTCTTGGCTTCCGTTGGAAACCCCTATAAAGGGGGTTCCCCCCCCCCCCCCAAAAAAAAAGCCCTATTCATATATTTAATTCTCTTAGTCACCCAAATACAGTTAACGAACACAGGAATAATGGATCATTAGTGACTCTAGCTATGAGAAATCAGAGCTACAAGATTATGGTGGTGTAAACCCGTGAGGATTAAGCCATCCTGCTGTGTTGATATTCAGAAGCACTTTGGAGACAAGATGATCTTTTTGCTTTATTCCCCAGCATGGGGGAAAGGAAGGGATAAAGTTTATTTGTCTCGTCTTTTCATCAAGTGCTCTGAAGTGCACCGTTTGTGGAATGGGGAATATTGTACATTCCTGTCTCTAGTGTTAGTGATGGCCAAGTCTTTATGCAGTAAACCAGTTTAGAAATAGCAGTACTTACAGGTCCATTCTCCTAGATACATTGGCCTACACATCCATGTTAACTTCTAACTTTCTGAAGCTACGAGTCTTCTGACAGCTGCTGTTTAATTGCGTTGTTTTCTATTAATGGTTTCCTTTCTCATTACTCCTGAAAACTGTCTGCTCTCCTACCAAACCCGTGACACAGGAGAGGTACAATTTAATCCTCACAGCACTAATATTTTCCTGTACCTTGTAATGTAGTAGTTAATACCTGAAAACTTTTATGTCCATGAATCTGTGAAGAAGAATTTATCTCATTAAGAAACAGTTCTTTCTGACTCCTTGGAAGAGTCTTATCTCATTAGGAACCAGAGCTGACTCTCTCCTTGATGGGAGGGGGCAATTTTGCTTTCTAGACTTGAAAGATACCAAAACAATGGAGTTTGACATTACAGGTGGGAGTTATCCCACTTTAGGTATCTACAAGCATAGATGCTTATATCTCAGCTAGTCATGCTGGGTTCCCTTGATAGTCAAGGAAGAGGAGTAGACACTTTGGGAAGGCATAATCTCACGAGATTCTCTCTCTCTTCTGTCTCTCATCTCCCAACTGATGCTTTTCTGTCTGTCTGCCTTCTGAGATGCTTGACTTAGTTTCTGTGGGTCCAGACCAATAAGATTCAGCGGAAATCATGAAAGTCCATTGAGATAGTCTCAAACACAATGAATTGCACACAAAATTCAAAGACATAGGACTGAAAGGCGTCTCCTCAGTTAGAGTCCAGTCTTCTGCTGTCAAGGGCAACCACATTGTGTAAAACTTTTTATACAAATTTACCAAGCTCTATGCATAGATCAGTGAGGCTTCTTCTCCTTAATACTCATGCTGGGAGGCTACTCCGAAACTTTATTTCTTTGATCCTGCAAATGATTTTTTTTCTTTCTAATTTCCAGCCAGAATTTATTCATGCTTGGTTTATGTCCATTTGTTCTTATGCCAGCATTATTCTCTTTAGCTTAAATAGCTGTTTTCCTTTCTTGCTGTTTATCTGTTTCATGCATTTGTGGAAAACAATCATAGTCTTTTCAGCCTTTGCTGTGCTAGAGTAGACAAATCAAGCTCTTCTCCTTTCCTCAGATGCAGAAGGTGCTCCCATCCCAATTATGTCAGCCATTTGCTGCCGGTCCAAATTCCCCCTTTCCTAAACCTGGGAGAGTAGAGCACATGCAGCTCCGTATGAGGTCCTCATTTTTACCATTATATTATTTTTTTCTTATACTTGCTGGACACTCCTCATGTGAGACATTTGAAGATCATTTGCTTTTATCAGTCTCAGAGCAAGTGATCAGTCACTACAGTATCTTTTCTGTCTAATAATGTTAGATCTTTGCTCTTGAGATCTTTGTTCCAAAGATTATGAAATGCAAAGCGTAATTGAAACAAAAACAATAAAATGAAATCCCTCTTTTCCCTCTGAATTTTCATCATGTGAAACCTCACAGGCCTAACTTAAACCGTTTCCAGGATTTGGACCTGTTCCTAGATGGTTCGGAACCAAACTCAGGAGACTTTTTGGTTTTAGCTCCCAGCAAAAACTTCTAAAACCTATCTTCTTCCCACTGCAGAAAATAAGAGTCTGCTGCAGGAATTAAACACTACTTGTTAGGTTAAAGATCTAGTGGTATCCAACCCTTCTTCTCTCATCCTTTTACAGCAGTGCCTTCAACTTCTCATCACTCAACTCTCTTTGGTGCTCACTGCACTCCTGTCCAGGTCAACACCACAGCACCTTTGCAAGGAGTTTTCTGCTCAGCCTCTGCAACTGCAGATAGAAAAGAACTTTTTAGGATGGGTTATAAAGAGTCCAAGCAGTAAAAACATGAAGTGTGCTCAATGGTGACACACCAGCCAAGCTCTAATGGAGCCATGCAGAGCACACATAAAGTGAGATTTCTGCAGAGGTTTTTCATCTAGGCAAATTTAGGCAGATTTATAAAGAGGGGAAAACAGTCATAACTCTACCGTCAGGATAGTCCCATCCAAACTGAATTTATCATTTACTCCAAAGTGGGATTACCTACCTAGCTAAGTAATTTTAGCAGGTTATTTTAACAAGTAGTACACTTCTTCCTCTCTCATTCTCCAAAACCGCTGAATGCCTTCAGCTTGTAGTGAAAGGGAATAAACAAATACATTAGCTCTAGGATCGGGAAAAAATCAGATTAAATGGTTAAAAGTTTGGCACGGTTGTAAGAACTAAAGACAGGGCATTAAAATGGAGAATTTCAAGTATCCTTGCCTATAAATAGCTCTTCTGTAGTATATAAATACTAATATAGTGTATAAATACCAAAATACGCACACACACAAGCATGCTCATACATACACACACATGTTGTGTGCCCCTCCCCGAATACACACTTTAAAAGACTGAAATTAAAAAAAATGTTTGTAAATGAAAAATTTATTTAAGATCCTTTTGAAGGACTTTTCCTTACCACCTTTTTTTCTTTTTCCATTTGGTCCTGTAAGTCTGTTGCTTGTTAGCAAAACAATCCTAGAAAAGATGTTAAGTTCACCATGAAACGATTCTTTAGTTCAAAGGCATTTCTGAACGACATTTCCCCAGCGCAGCGCTCGCGATGACGTGGTGCGCTCTACGTGCTGTAGAGCACATGCATCTACCCTCATGCATCACGCGGTCAACCAGGTGTTGCAAGGATGCACACCTCTTTGCCATCATGTTGTAACCCTTTAGGACAGGATAAGTCTGTGTTGTTTGCACAGTTTCACAAACAAACCTGTCTTGCAAAGCTGAGAGCCTGAAGAAATTCAAACTATGTGGCAGGATTGCACAACGCACGTATAAATAGAGAGGGCCTTAAAACAGGGCTCAGGAAGACTGAATTGTGTTCCTGGTATAATCAGTCCTGCTGAGTGACCTTGACAGTCACTTCAGTCCCTTGTACTTCAGTTTCCTAAGCTGTAAAATGTGGCTTACATTTCTGACTGCTTCTCAGTAAAGATTTTTGAGCTCTGCAGGTAAAAAGCCCCCAGAACTTGATAAGCTAAGCAGCCTCCCTCACACTGCTGCTTACTGTGGAAATTACTCTACTATTTTCTTGGATGGGGGGAAAAAGGATGGAAATCTCGGCAAGAGGTCATCAGATGAGAAAATCAAACCCTAGTGAGCAGACTGGGAGCTTAGTGTTCATCCTCCCTAAGTTTTATCGCCTATATAAGAAACGCCTGCCTCTGTGCTGGGCTCTCTGTAGTCACTGGGGAGAAACAAGTGTTTCCAGAGCATGCTTCAGCTCATCGGTGTGGGCATCTAACGCACACGGAGGGATTTATGCCATGGGACAGTCTTTTTCTCTGCTGACTACAGAGAGAATTGAAGGTATCTCTGTTATAGATGAATTGTAACCGGATGAGATGAATCCCACCCAAAATGACTACAGCAGAGAAATTAGGTGTTCTCCAAATATTTTCTAACATAGGAATTGCCTTCCCTTTCCAGCCAGCTTTGACTGCTTACCAGTCTGAGGTCTCAGTATTGCTGAAAGCCAGCTGCTTCGTCCCGCTGGGTGTTAGGAACTTTAACCCCACATGCAATTTAGGTAACTCCAAATCTTGGTCTTACAAAGCAAAGGCTTTGAGAGACTCAGAGGGCAGGGTGGGGTTTACAACCAACAAAGCAGGAAAATCTCATTGCCTCCCTGAAGCTCACCATTCCCTCGATCCAGTTAGTGAGGCTGGGAGACAGCAGCCCATTGAGTGGTCACCACCGTCCTGGTACCAAACTGGGACGGTTCACTCCAGGTGGGAAGACACCAAGTGGGAGTGGAAAAATAAACTGAAGGCAAAGGGAAAAAGCTGTTTAATTAGCCTCTTTCCAGGCTGTGTTGCTTTGTCTTTCCAGTGCATTTGAATGTGTGGCTGTTTGCCTTGCAGAGGGATGCCCTGGCTTGTGTAACGGCAATGGCAGATGTACTCTGGACATGAACGGCTGGCACTGTGTCTGCCAGCTGGGCTGGAGAGGAGCGGGCTGCGATACTTCCATGGAGACGGCATGCGGCGATGGGAAAGACAACGACGGAGGTAGGACATGAGCACATGTGGTATGTCAGGCTTCGCAGAGCCTATAAACCTTGCACAGTGAACAGTCAGCTGGGCTTGATTCTGCAGGGCAGATTGTTTTTTGACAGCTGGTGGAGAACAGACAGCGAAGTCTGCCAGGCTGACTCAGCCAGAGTGGATTTGAATTCAAATGAAATGGATTTGGACTTGCGGTGCCAGGGCTGAAGAGGGAGGTTTATTTATCCTCAAATCAAGTCCATATACCAGAGAGCAGGCAGAGACTATGCACTCGTCCTATCACTCCACCCCAGCCGGGTGGCTCAGCGGTGACACGATGGGACCACCTCAGACAGCAAACGCCCCGACTGTTCGAACTTTGGCCTCACTGCCTGAGGTTTTCATCAAGGCTCTCTGGTAGGTCACTACTGACTTGGGATGGATGCTTTGCAGAAACTTTGAGGCTTCGGTGACTGATCCTCATGCCCACAAGCCATCCAATCCCTCTCAAACCATGTTTTATTGATTACAGTTCCATATGTAATGATGTCAGGCATGTGAATAATAGCCCTGCGTAATGCAAACTTAATATTCAGAGTTATCTCATTACAAAGGAAACCCTGGTGCAGTGTGAAGGTTTGAATTAGAGGGCAGGAGATGAGATATTAAATTTAAGGCATAAGGGAGACTGCATAATTTGTTTTGTTGTCACTCAGCAAAAGGCTTTGTAAACCACAAGTCTGGGCCAGGACCCAGACTGTGAAGTGGAGACTGCATTTTGCAAGCCTCTGTTTTATCATATTCACAAGAACAGTACAGTTACAAAAAAATAAAAATAGCCAAGCCAAGACTGTGATTATCTGCTTCACAGCAACTGGGATTCTGATTGAATATTTAAAATACTTCTGCACATCTGGCATGGCAAATGGACCAAATTATCCCTTTAGAAAAGATGGAAAAAATTGGAAATCATACAAAGAGTACACACTATAAAACAAAGGTCGCTTTTTGCCTCACATGAAACTGAATATCACTGCACTCGTCTTTCCTATTTACAGCTGACACAGGGCAGCAATAAAGTTCATCACATCAGAAGTGTAAAAATATGTTAAATAGAGCCAAGGATAATCCCAGTTTCCATGGAAAAAATAACCAACAAAAACCCTGTGAAGTTTTTAGAAAGAGAGAGGAAGAAGGAGTAATCCAGCCTAACATACAAGGTAGACCACATCTGTATAACATCAAAAAGAGCATGACCAGGTTCTGAGCAGGTTGGTGGAACACCATCTCCTCATGTCTCCTGGTTCAAGGTGCTAACCGTGTAACTGGGTTACCCTCACCTTGAAACGAGCTGTTTGTTACCTTGCTAGCCTGCAGGACAGCAGATGTAGACAGGAGAGACAAAAGGCATCGACATGTTTACAAGTTAGTGCACATCAACTGCTAACTTGCATTTGGTGAACTTGTGTGGAGCAGTGCTGTACACAGCTAGAGCAGATCAACTGTTAGGTTGTGACATATTGCCATATGACAGCTTATTCATGTGTCAGAGCCCACAAATGAGTGTTGACTTCACTCTTGGTACACTAAAAAAATACATGTACATGGTGTGCATTACAGTTTACAGATAATCCATGTCATACGCTGTGCTATTCCTTTGGTTTTGCTACATTACTGCTAAAGACTCTCCTCAGCTGGAAAGTGGAATAGGTATACATTTACCTTTTTGAGTTCATTTTTATACATGTTTATGGATCATTTGTGCTGTATTCATGGGCTCAAATCTAGAATTTCAACCTCTGAGATGCAGGGGCATCAGCAGTGGTGAGGCACTCTACTTTGAAGCCTGAGTTCCTTGTTTAGCACAGGGATTTGAATATGGTTACATGAACTGGTAAAGGCTAATTCTGGACCTGTTTCCTAGTTGTTACGCTGATCCCTATAGCAAGACGGCTGGAGACATTTGAAGAACATCTGTAGAGTAATTTAGGTTGGAAGGGACCTCCAGCAGTTGTCTAGTTCAACCCCCTCCTCAAAGCAGATTACATCAGGTTGCTCAGGAGTCTGTCCAGTCACTCTTGAACACCTCCAAGGACAGAGATTCCACCTCTCTGGGCAACCTGCTCCAGCATATGACCATCCTTACAGTAAACGTTTTTCTCCTAATATCTAATCATAATTTTCCATGTTCCAACTTAATGTCTGTTGCCTTTTGTCCAGCACCATCTGAGACATCCTAGAGTACCCCAGCTGGCTTCTGGCTTCCCCTTCACAGTAACTTGGATCTCTAGTAGAGGATATATATTTGTTTCATGTGTCACAGCTGCCTTTGGATTTCTCAGATATCCAAAGGCAAGTCAAATGACACTAGGCACCTGTGTTTAGGAAGCAGAATGAAGCCCATATTCGATGCAGCCACTTTGTCACCACAAACATCATACCTTGGGAAACTGCTGTGCTTTGAACAGCACTGAAGAGATGTAGGCCTGAAAAACCTGTTGAAGAGCATGTAGTATGTGTGTGAACACTATGGCTTCTCCCTTTTTTGGAGTCCTAGCAGTTCCTGGAGTGATGCATGCTCAGGGCTGGAGAAAGGTGGTTTATTTGACTGTTCATAGAATCATAGAATCATGGAATCATAGAATGCTTTGGGATGGAAGGGACCTTTAAAGGCCATCTAGTCCATCCCCCCTTGCAATTGGCAGGGACATCTACAACCAGATCAGGGCGCTCAGAGCCCCATCCATCCTGGCCTTCAATGTTTCCAAAGATGGGGCATCTACCACCTCTCTGGGCAACCTGTGCCAGTGTTTCACCACCCTCATTGTAAAACATTTCTTCCTTATATCTAGTCTGAATCTCCCCTCTTTTAGTTTAAAACTGTTACCCTTGTCCTATCGCTATTGGCCCTGCTAAAAAGTCTGTCCCCACTTTTCTTATAAGCCCCCTTTAAGTATTGAAAGGCCGCAACAAGGTCTCCCCGCAGCCTTCTCTTCTCCAGGCTGAACAACCCCAGCTCTCTCAGCCTGTCCTCACAGCAGAGGTGCTCCATCCCTCTGATCATTTTTGTGGCCTCCTCTGGACCCTCTCCAACAGGTCCATGTCCATGTCCTTCCCGTCCTCCCCAGAGCTGGACACAGCTGTTTGCCGTAAAGGATTTCAGGACTATTGCTGAATTTGTCTTCATATGCACATGAATGTAGGCAATGGAGTCCTTTCATGAAGCTTTAGGAGTCAAACATCTGAGTGGGTACCATCAGCGGGGAGAAATAGATTTAGGGCATCATCTTTCGGAGCTATGTCAGATATCACCTCGTAGGTGCCTACTTTTGGTTGGTGACCACTGCCCGTCGAGTCACTTTCTGCTCAGAGCAGCATCTCTTGAAGCTGAGACACCATGCTACGGGGGGGGCTTCACCCTGCCTGAGCTCATCAGAAGCTGATTCCCACACTGTGCTATCGTGTGTCTGCTAATCAAGGTCCCTGCAGCCGGAAATTCCTCGGGATAATGGGAGCTGAAGTCAGAATCTTTTTCATCAGATCCCAGACTAATCATACCCTGAGGGAGACGGGTACCAAATTACAGGGCGTGTTTGCCTCTTAAATCTGGAGGCTGTTCAGATAAACAATAACAAGCTAAGCAGAAGTCACTCAGAGAGAAACTCGATGAAATGTAATCTCGGTTCAGGTTAGAAAAAAGGTGTCTTGGAGAGCAGTCCCCCCTCCACACACAAGTGTCATTTGTCAAAGCTGGCACTTAGGTTTCACACCCAGGACTGCTTTATTTACACTTTTAAACAAAACACAGAGCCTGTCAACTTGAAAGGAGTTGTAGCAAGTAACTGAGAGCAGGCTATCATCCAGTATCAGTCAAGGGAAAACCGTGCAGTGACAGAGCTTTAACAATCTGGGTAAAAGGCTAGGATTTTGCACATTTGACCTAAGAGGCTACCTGTATTACAACAAATGGGAGGCGTTTCCTTAAAACAAGCTGAGAAAAGTGGTTCTTGCCTCTCTTTGGCAGAAAATAACCTCTCTAATTCATGGCTGCAAACACTCACTACCTGAGAGTAGTCATGTCTCACCCCACATTGAGTGCTCTGTCATGTGCTCGAAGAATAAGAAGTCTGAAGGTTTAAAAGATCAAGGAAATTATCTTCTGTGACAAGTCCTAGAAGTGGAGTTAATGGCATTTGACAAAGCATTGAGAACAGGCTGATATGCCATAGGCTAAATACGGGCTCCGTTGCATTTGTAGACTCCTCCATCAGGAGCAGAGTGTACAGGAAAAATGGAGGGGAAGAGGAGAGGATATTCTTCACAATCTCACAGATATGCTATTGGGCAGCAAAGCTGCGTTAACCATCTTTGTTCTGGAGAAATCATCTAACTGTAGGACTCCCTCCATCTTGAGCACCAAAGAGTTGGCCAATTCACCCTGTCATTGTCTGGATACACCCCACTGTCTGAAACCATGAGACGATTATAGATATTAAACTAAATTGCTCTTTTGGTCTAAAAGTTCTGTCTGATCAACACAGTAACTTCACTTGAGGGCCTTTGTTAGTTTTGGGCTTTTCCAGAGTAGCGAAGTCTTCCAGATAGGGTAAAGCTTGCTGGTTCTCCGGGAAGTGGAACTGACCGCATCCTTCTTTTCCTGCTTTGAACAATTCCAGTTGCTAAACAGCTGCTGAGCTCTGCCCAAAGTGACTCTACTTTACTTGGGAAAGGCAAGAGTTTTTCTCAGACGAAAAATATGTCTGGAATATAAATGTTCCTAGTATTAGATAACCCTTTATATTCATTAGAGGTTGATGTTCAGTTGTCTGCTGTTCTCTGCTGCCTCTTCCCAATTTAAACACTTCCAAAGGCTTGTGTTAGTGATTACTGCAGGGTAATTTAAATAGATAGATAGACAGATGAAAAAAGAGACAGGTAGATAGATAATCTTCCCAGTCAAATAATGCTGGCCTATCCTAACGTATATTGCACACCATTGCATAGAAGTATAGCAACTTCATTTT